AACCTGAGCCTCCCGTGGCACAGCTGGAGGTCGCTCCCTCCTGTCCTGTCAAGATGGTGTTGTCCTTGAGGAGTGAGATTGTTGGTAACACAGAGCAGCTGTGCAAACAGCTGTCAGACTGCTGTGTAAGCTTCAGGAATTGTTTTCTGCTACAACAATAAAATGGTGGTATGGAGTTATCTTAATTTCTTCCAGGAATGTATTAAATGAAATCACAGCATACCTTGCAAAAAAATCCACCATTTTGCATCAAACATAACAAATTACAGTCAGAAAGTTTGTGTGTCTGACAGCTGCACTGGAGAGTTAAAAGGAGTTTGAGTGAGGTGGTTTTGATCACAGAATCATGGAATGGTTGGGGTTGGGTTGGGAGGGACCTCAAAGCCCATCCAGTGCCACCCCTGCCATGGGCAGGGACACCTTCCACCAGCACAGGGTGCTCCAAGCCCCGTCCAACCTGGCCTGGGACACTTCCAGGGATCCAGGGGCAGCCACAGCTTCTCTGCCCAACCTGTGCCAGGGCCTGCCCACCCTCCCAGCCAGCAATTCCTTCCCAGTATCCTATCTATCCCTGCCCTCTGGCAGTGGGAAGCCATTCCCTGTGTCCTGTCCCTCCATGCCTTGTCCCCAGTCCCTCTCCAGCTCTCCTGGAGCCCCTTCAGGCCCTGGGAGCGTCTCCCTGGATCCTTCTCTTCTCCAGGCTGAACAAGCCCAGGTCAGTCCCTGTTAATCCCCCGGGTGTGATTGTTTGAGTGAAGGGCTGTGCTGGAGAGGAGGAACAGCTGAGCCTCCGAGATGTGAGACACAGAACCCAGCCTGGGTTTTAAGCAGCAAGCTAATTATTTTGTTGTCGATGACAGCAGGCTCACAAGTGTCAAAAGTTTATAAATAAAGAGGGTTTTTTCCTGGTAGATGAGAGCAGGATATGGCCTATTTGCTGCGTTTTAAATCCTGCAAATATCACAAACATCAGCTCTGGTGTTTCTGAGACTTCCCTCTGGGTGAACTCCTGTGAAGATGAGAAGCTTTTCCAGTCTCTGATTGAATGGGAAGACATGCTGAGTTTTTGGCAAAGAGCGTGTGTCTCCAACATTTCCATGGAACAAGTGTGAACAAAAACAAATCCAGCCCTGGAAAAGAGGAAAACCCCGAGGGAATAACAACGACTGCACTACTCAATGAACTCCAGTCCCTTTACTTGGAGATCACAGGTATCAAATGTGTTAATTGGGCAGGTGTAATGACACCAAAACCCACGGGTTGGGCTTCACTTGGAAGTCCAGACAACAACAAAATAGAGTTGTATCTGACTGAGATACAACCAGCAAGAAATTAACACAAAAAAAAAAGAAAAAAACATGGAAAACGGGTCCAACCTGAACAGTCCAGAAGTTGCTCCCTGCCCTGAGACTCCTCTCACACCTTTAAGCAGCAGGCAAAGAGCTCGCAGGCACCTCCCAGTCCTGATGTCCTGTGTCAGGTGCTGAGATTTGTGGTCCAGAGGTGTTGTGGGCAGTAGTGACCCCCAAAGACTCCCTGAAGATCCCACTCTTAACTGAGCAGTTTAAAAGGCTCGGGAGCTGCAGAGCCTGCCTGGGAGCTCCCAGCCCTGCCAGCAGATGGGCTGCAGACAGCACAGGAATCGGGCTCTCTGGTTTCCGAGGCAGCGCAGAACCGCTCTCAGTGCCAGGAGCTGCAGCCACAGTCACACACCGGCTCTCGGGCTCGAGATGCCTCGGATTCCTCACAGAGCCGGGGAGGCTTCAGTGTGGCTCTGCGTATTCCTTGGGCTTGGAGGGAATACGGGCAATAAAACCCCCAACAATAACCTAATGACATTCCAAGTGATTTTCAACATGAAAGCAATAGTCTGGTTTTTATTAAGTTATCACTTCATCATGTTCCCTGATTGCCTTCATTCATGCCTTAGTTGTCTACAGGCGCTATTAAAAAAAAAAAAAAAAAAAAAAAAAAAAAAAAAAAAAAAAAAAAAAAAAAAAAAAAA